AACAAGGACGATGCTCAAGCCTATGCTTTCGCCATTGCATTTTATACCGGTGCTTATAGTGAAATGCTTAGTGTGAATTCAAATATATTCGCTAGACGATGGCAACGAAACAAAGCGACGAATGCCGAAAACATACAAGTTGACGATAACGCTGCAATGATTATGTTTTATCTTATCAAAGGTCTCTCACATATTAATTTCTATTGGGGTCGAGTGGTACGATATGTAAAGCTGAAAGAACAAGATCTGAAGGATTACCAATCGGGTGAAATTATTACATGGCTTCAATTTAGTAGTTCGGATAAAGGTGAAAACAAAGATGGAAAGAAGCTTCAATGGTTTAAAGAACGCAACACTATGTTCGTCATTTATTCACTTACTGGCCGAGGCATACGAGAGTTTTCGAATTGTGCTAATGATGAAGATGAAGTGCTCTTCTTACCTCATTCGACATTCCTAGTATGCCACACAGAAGTTGTCGACAGGAAAAACGTGATCTACATGAGACAGGTAAGTGTTTCGCATGCTGCGCGACTTCAGTAATGCAGAATTAAACCAGTAGGTTTTTCTTTTTTTTGTATCTAGTTATATACAGTGCGACGAGCTAATGAGATTGTACTGGTTTTAATTTTCTGGAATGAATTTCCGAATATAATTTGCAGTTTCTTCAGATGGCCTGCTTTCTCTGAAAGCAGGTCAACTTTCGATGATTGATGAATTCTCCATTTTTCATTTAGTTCAAATTTCAAAATCGTTTCTTTCAGAATCAGCATTAAAAAGCCAAATATAGAAAACTCATTTCTGAGCTTATTCAACCATAGCATGATTATACTTCAGGTATCACAAGGGAGAGAACTGCGAATTTGACGAAAGAATGTTATAGTTTTGTCTACTTTTCTTCTACGAATAGATTACGCATACTTTCATATTTTAGTAGAACGCGAAGATGTTGTACTTCAGAAGAATAGCTGCAGCTTTCTGAAACATTGTTATTTCACTTGAAAAGTTATTTTTTCTGATAAAAAAAGGCAAAACATAAGCAATTATTTGAAATAATCAACTTTCGTGACAAGGATAGAGACATATAAAGCTATGAATATCAGAGTTGAAATCAGCATAAAAGATTGAGTGGAATGACGTATTTGCATGCTCCATCAAACAATTTTTGTTTGTTTTTTTGAATTTTTCACGCACACCACAGTTCAACAACAGCCAGCAGCTTGCTCGAGTTGTTAGCTTCTGGAAAACTCTCAAAAGTGCAACTTCATTTACGAAGGATGTGATTGAAGGTTATCCGGTCGATTTCAGAGGTCTCAGGAAAATACTTATAACTCTTGAACAAAACAAGCTAGCGAGCTCAGCCCTGTGTAGATCGAAAGCGAACAATTTTTCCCATCGAATGGTCATATTGGAATCTAAAATCCAATGAGAAATAGTTTCTCTAAACAGTCTTCAAAATGTTCGATGAGTGCTCACACAATTGGTCAATTGTTGACCGATCAAATTTGGTAGAGTTTTACTTCCCCCTCATTTCTCTCCTTGGAATGATGAAAACCGCAGGTTTCTAGCTGCTTTCATTCTCGAGATATTTAAAAAATATCGAGGTGCGTTATATTTTGACGTCGGTAGTAGTATTGGAACATGTTTCTGAACGAATGGATCACAAAAACGTTGAATATGGACCTAACATAATCTACGTCAAACCTTGTGTTTTTTCTGCATTACTAGCAACTATATTTTAACTCGAAACTCTCTATGAAGAGTAGATCGAATTGGGTCTCTGCAAATATGTGGTGATGTGGGTCGATGATCATATTTTTCATGATTGGTGGGAAAACAAAGAACATATGGAGAAAGCAAGTACACTTGGCACACAAGTGAATGTTCATTTTATTCCAAAGTCGAGTACTGAAAGCGCATTAGCATTTCTCCGTTCAGAATTTGGATTAAGATTGAAAGATTCTGACACATTTCGTATTGTCACCGATATGAATCGAGACAATGAGAGTTCGCCTGGCGATGCAGGTGCTCGCCTTCTCTATGAAGTACGAAGACTTGGCTATCATCAAAAATGTCTTATATTTACCGGCGATGCAGCTGCAGCACGTGCAAAGCTTAACAAGAGCTTCAAAAGCAATCAATTGGGTGATGTGAAGATAACGGAGATTCCAGAAGATCTTGAATCTTTTGTTCTCTTCAAATAAAACCTCACACAAACTTTCAAAGATATTAACAAAACACGCTTGCCATTTCGCTTTCTAGCATTTATATAACACCTGATTTATCTTGAAAGAATATATGTCCAAAACAAAACAATGAGTATGCCATCATAAACCTTACTAAATGTGAATGCCAATTTTTTCTTTCAGGTCTCATTCGTCAAATTATTCATTAATAGGGTGTGGGTGTGATTGGGGGACGTGGTTGAAGGCTGTCGGTGGGGAACATGGGTGTGGTATGCGGAATGTGGAGTGTAGGTGTGGGTCTGAGTGTGGATGTGGGTGTAGTTGTGGCCTGAGTGTGGGATATGGATGTGAGCATGCTATTCTATTTGCATACACCCACACCCAACGTTTTTGATCACAAGTTTCTTGGTGGTAGAATTTTAGCACCATTCGACAGTAAAATGAAAAATCTATGCCAAAGGTCATTTATAGATACATGAAAAAATTGTTTCGATTGATTGTTTATGTTTTAATAACCTATATGCTGTAGACGAAACTTGTTGCTCGATGATTTAGATTTACTTTATCAAATATGTCATTGTTCTACATTTTTACCCAGGTCAAGCGGAAATAGTACAGAGGATTCATTCGTCTGGATAACCTATGGTGCAAGAATGATTGCCGAAATCTCCAGCCATAGTTCTTTACTTAGGATTATCTTGGAAATTAAACTGTTATTATTAAAAATAGTCATGTCTGAACTACAAATTTTGTACTAGCTATGTCTTCCCAGAACGAATCTGACGAGGAGGAAAAGCTAAAAACAAAACACCTTTCCAAAAATACTTCGACTTAGTCAGCAAGAAGTATCAGTTTTTTTTTAATCCTATTAACTTTTTTTAATGATGCGAGAGAATGACAAAACACTTTCAAAAATGATTATTTGTAGGTTAAAGAACTCTCATTTTAACAATGTTGATATCGATAGAGTTTTTGATATGCTACATTTCGGTGTATCGTTGTGTGAAAGTTTAGTCCATGCAGCCTTAGATAATCGAGAAACATAAATTATTCAAGTTGCAAAAGCTTTTTTTAGAGCTGTTTGAGTTTTGGCTATTCCTCCTTCTCAGATTCCTTCTGAAAAAATATAATGAGAACTATGGCTGGAGATTTTGGCCATTACTTTTATATCATAGGTTAGTTTCATTTAATCAATGTCTCTTATGTCCATTCACCATGAAAAATAACGAATGTTAGAAAAATTAAATTAGCACAAATTTTATTAACTTGAAAAGAAATAAGATCACATAATGAAATACTGATGTTCAGAGTTCATACATATTATTACTGTTTCACATTTATATTGATTCATCATACAACGAAAGTTTATTCTATGTATATACAGATAGTTTCCAGCTAATGATGCGAGATATCGGATATTGATTCTAGATCATCTTTTAATTGTTTAGATTTTTTGCACAAGACTTTACGTTTCTTCCATAAAAATAATAATAATGATAGAACACAAATCACTCCAAATATTATAAACAATCCACTCAATACTTCAATTCCAATTGCAGTAGATGTTACCGATGGATTAGAACATCGCTTTACTTGAAACCATTTTCTTCGTAAAATATCAAGATAACCTGATTCTTTTAAAGATAATATATTAACATCTAAATCTTGTCCATATAACCATTGTTTAGGTGTAATAATACCAAATGCACCTTTATCAAAACCTTCACCAATCAATGTTACATTACAATATACATTATTAGTTATATATTCTGCAACACCTGCATCATGAAAAGATACATCAATTAGATTATTTAATAAACTATTATACATTTCTTCTCGAGATTTTAATGGATAATAATTTCGACTATAACTAGAAATTTCTTTTAAATAATATTCTTCACTAGCTGTACCTACAAGAATACCAATACGATTGAATGATATTTTACCACTTTTAATATCATCAATTCCAGAAATAATATTCTTCGATTTTGATATTGTTAGATCAGATGCTAAATTTGCTGTATATGATGCAACTAATACTAAACATAAGATATATAAACCAGCAGTTAATAAACGTCCAGCAGTTGTTCTAACATGAAACTCTACACCGTATCCAACAAGATTGCCAAAAGTATACCACATACTCATTACACATAAATTAATTATTGATTGTTTTCTTAATTTTCGATTTTTCTCTCTCTCTAATAGACAGATTAAAATACTAGCAAAAATAGTAATACCCACGATTAATAACCAGAGATCACGTGTGAATGGATTCAAGAATGCAAAGAGATCAATATCAACATCAGAAGTTTGTCGCATAACAATGCGTAAAGAATTATCAAATATTGGCTGTGAAAAATCAATTTTTGCTCTTCTTGTAGCAGTAACTGTCACATCACCTATTATTATATCATAATCACGATTTTCTACTAATTGTCCTAATAAACTGTATGTTATATTTGATGATATTAATTCAATATTTGGAATGAATCCCATTTTATTTTGTAAAAGATCAATAAGATCAGGTATATAACCAATCAATTTTGTTAGTTTCTGTCCAAATTCATTTGTTACAGTAGTAACAATTGTGAATGGAACTGATTCAATTATACCAATTCTTAATTTAACACCAGTAAGTTTTGCACCACCAGTAGGAGGTATTAATGAATTACCTGGCCATATAATTGTACTTGTTTCTGAATATTCTTGCCAACCATCATGATTAGAATATTTCAATACTGCTACGAAATTTTGTCTATTTAAAGAAGATTGATAGTTTTTTACAACATAATAACTGCCATTTATTCGATCTGTTACATTAATATTAAATTGTATAGGACCAGAGACACCAAGAAATGTTATATTATTAATTGTATCAAAAAATAAATTGGAATCGAGAAAATAACGATCAAAACAAGATGAAGAATTGCTAAATGATATACATGTAGAAGAACTATTAATAGTTTTTGAACAAAATTCTTTTAATGATTGAATTAATGTCCAAGTTGCATCGAATGCAAATAATGCGTAATCATCTACATTTTTTGAATTAGGAAATGTTTCAGGTTCATATTGTTTCCAAATATTATAGGCTGCATTTAATAATGTTGTATTAATTGATGTATGAAGAGTATTTCCTGTTGTAGGTTCAATAGTAAGTATTCCAATTAATTTTTCATTAGATATTGTATTAAAAGAATTTAATGAAACAGTTGAACTTAATATCCATGTAAAATGTGGACCAAGTACATCAGAATAAAGTGCATCTTGTAAAACAGAAGATGTATAAGTCGATTCAGTCCATAATATAATTATTCGTGTTGAACTACTAGTTAAAGCATTTTTCAAATTATCTCGCATACTTTGTGTTGTTATATCAAATATTAACTTATCTGCAACTATCAAATCATTATGAATGAATGCTTCAGTTATTACTTTTACACCACCAAATCCATATGCATCATTTTGATAAATAATTATACATGAAGTCCAATTAAATCGAATAAATAGTTTTACAATTGCTAATGCAGCTGTATTGTCAGAAGGAACTGTACGATAAAAAGCAGGATAAGCATTTCGATCAGATAAATCAGGATCTGTTGCAGCATGTGATATAA